ATTTCATATAGTCTGGAGCACATGTAACAGTTCACTCGCAGTGTTAACTAATTAAGTAATATTTGCCTGTACTGCTCATATAGACATATAGAATTTCAGTAGCTGGATGTTAAATATTCATTCACAAATGCATGCCGTCTGTGCACTGTGCCTCACCAGCTGTGCCATGCTGAGGATCCTGGGAGGTGATGATAGCACGAGAGCCACGAAGCCGCCCTGAAAGCCTGTCAGCCAGCTGAGGGTGGAGAACAACTCACTGGCTTTACGGCCAGGTCACACACAAGCTCTTTGTTCACATCAGGAGACAAACCCAGTTCACAGGCCTGAGGGGGAAAACATAAACATCACATCTATTGCCCCCCCCCATATTTACTCCTCGAGCATTATGGAGCACAGAGAGCATGCTTTTTCCACCACTTCCCATCTTCTTATACCCAAGGGACATAAAATTGTTTCCTGATAAAATAGGCCATTAGTTGCTAAAGCAAACAATATGTCACTAATTGCAAATAAATATACAAGCTCTGCCCAACACTGTTACATTAGAAATTGGGTAGTATTGAAAATGTCCACTGTCATTGGATGTTTCTCTCTTTGCTCCACACAACACTCTTATTTTGGCATGGATGTGCAGAAAAATTTGTTGAGTTTGACATCTGTGTTTCTTACATTAATTGCACATTGCTGAAGAAGCAGTCAAGGGGACTCCTTTACAGAGAGTATAAGTCTGGCTAAGCTGTTACAGTACAAGTGAATGACATTTTCTTTTTGTCATAGCTTTCTGAAAATGATAATCTGGCTGCCAATGATCTGTGATGCAAATGCAAATATTTCAAAGCCAAAACCACAATGCACAGACACTGCAGTTAAAAGGTGATGCATAAGTGGGCTACTGGGTTTTAGAAATATTTGTCCCTGCAACTACCACAATGTCAGAACAAATCAAATGCTTCAGTTGCCCACACTTCCGGGCTCCGTTGATTAGTTACCCTGTGTACACAGCCAACAAAAAAACAATCCAACCACAACCATTAGCCCACGCTAGCATAATTACTTAGAAGCCCACGTTAGCATTACTTACAAGCCGTGATATACTCCCCAGTAATGCTGAATGTTAGCCAGCTAGCGATAGCAACATTTGCCAAACAAATTCATTATATGGGTCACAGCAAGTTAGCAAGTTAATCTTATGAAAACAGACATGTAACAGTATTTAGTCTCTCACGCAATCAAGTTACTCACGTATGGCGCAGAAGAAAAGCCAGTTCCGAGTCAAGCAGGAGCCTTTTAGCCGTTCGTAGGGCTATCTTCCAACTCCGTGAAGCCAGACCAGCATTGGCCCCACCGTGGGACTGTGAAGGAAATTCAGCCTTGGACTTAAAACGCTGGGACCGAGTCTCATGAATTACACTGAAGGGCTGGTAAGTGACAGAGCAGGTAAAAACTTTTAAAACTTTATGGGTCTCCCCGCTTACTTACTGAGACTTGAACCAGTAATCCCCATGGCACAGTCTGTGCTCTGGCTGCGGTCGAAAAGTAGAAAAAAAAACTATATATATAAGAATATATAATGAATTAGGAAAAGACAACTGCGCAACAGTTTATACAACAGTTAGTTCCGACCAAATAATTTGATTGGAAGTGAGACATTCTATGAGTGGTGATATAGAGTACAACAGCAGTGGGACTTTTAACTACACGTATCACTCCGCTTCAGGTGTTCTGTTAACCATTAATCAGTGTTACATTAACGGTCTTTATCTATCTTAGATTGTAACAAACTTTGCAAAGATTAATATTTCCAGAGATAACATTTTAATTAAACGATGTATGGTCGTCAGAAGAGGATGAAGGGAAGAAGCCTTGGTACTTCAGCGCACAACTGAGTGTGTAGACAAAGTAGCAAGCTAGTGCACACTCTGCATGTCAGGGAAATGTTTGTGTTGCTTAGCAACAGTCCAGTTGCGGAACTATTTGTGTTTGCGTTGCTGATTAAATGATGACATAAACAAACAAACCATAATCTGTTGTTCCTTATTTAACTAATATGGCGTTTGTAGAACTTGTATAAAAGCAATATGACACTCGAGGTCAGTATCACTCGAGGTACTCGGCCTGCGGCTCCGTACCTATGACCGAATCACTGCCGTGCTGATATTCAGTAGCTACATCACTCCCTCTCGTGTGACATTGCTTATATAACACATGGACGATAAATATTACTTTCCTAACCCCAAGAACAAAACAAATAGGATTGAAATGTTGAAATAAAATAACATGAAAGGAATACACAAGTACAGAAAGTTGAGCCATTAAAACAACAATTGAGTTAAAAAATAAGGAACTGAACAAGAGACCAAAGTAAACTATATTCAGACATAAATAGGTCTATCCCAGATAGCAAAAATTATTTAGTATGAGCCATCCTAAAATCTGGCCCAGACCCTCCGGGCCAGATGTAGGCTTAGATCCAGTACAGATCTGATCACCATAAAAAATTCTTCATCCAGCCTGGAGCCGGCCCAGTTCTGGCCCAGATTCAAAGATCCGTATTTGATCCACACTGGATCTGGCCCAGATCCATACTGGATCCTTAGTGGATCTGGCCCAGATCTGTACTGCATCTGGTTCAGATCCACACTGGATCCATACTGGATCTGGCCAGAGTTGAGTCAGATCTGGGAATGTCTCTCCCAGATCTGTACTGGATCCAGTGCGAACTGAACAAGAGGCCCTAGTAAATTGTTCAGTTGTTGTTGTGAGACTGACATTTTTATATATTTGTTAAGTAGAGAAAATTATTTTTTGTGCATTCCTCAGTGGAAGGGGATTAAGTGAAATGACATGTATGTATATAGTATTTTGTTATGATGATGATGATTGTTATGATGATTGTTAATTTGAAATTCAATATGCTTGTTGTGTACAGATTTGAAAAAGAAGAACTCTATATTCGTGGATTTGGAGCTCAGTCGATCATGCAAGGATTTCCATAACTTTTGGATGTGTCACAATGCTCTGTTGTTTCTATGTTGACGTGGTTCTGCCTTGGTGAAACACACAGGTGAAACTACAATGGTGTGTTACTTCAAATATTGCTGCAGCAAGGAATTGTGGGAAAGCATTATCTCCTTTCCTTTCGTAAAGGAAGACCAAGTGTTAAAGGAGATAAGATAGGAAGCACTGAAGCTGCTTTCCTTTTCATTTAGAGTATGTCACCAACTCTTATCATGGCTGCCACTTAGATACTTCCAGGTCATTTTACCAAGCAAAAAAGACTTTTCAACTGACAAAAATGTGGTTTCATCTTTCTGGCACATTACTTTCATCTGAACGCTGTGTTGTGTCAAAGTCTGTTGCCCCATCCATATGTGTTTCCCCTAACTTTAACGCGTTACCTTATCCTAACCCTAAGCACAGAGAGAGGGTGCTAGTTGAAATGGGAGGGAAACACATTCTGACAGGCCCTATGGCAGCATGTTTATTGTACAGTTTGTTACATTTTGTTGTGTCAATGTTTTGGGTTTTTTATTGCTGTGTATTTTCTCAGGTCTATGCTTATATTTTTTTATTTTGTCTTTCAATTTAAAGCCTGTTGAATTTACTTAACATTGCCATTGAATTTTTCAGAAAGTAACAGAAATGTTCAGACACAGACCCCCTCTCCAATCTTATCAGAAAGGTATAGGGGAAGAGAGTCTCCGAAGCTATTCGATCATCCAACAAACAGTTCTGATGGAGTACACAGACACCTTAAAGATATGGGAATGTTGAACCTGAGCGGTTTTAAAAAGTCAGTGAGGTGACCTATCCAGTGGGTCTGGGCTAAGATAAGGAACAGTGTGTGCTATCAAACAGCACCTGACCCTGGGGTAAAATCAATACTCACCTCCCTTATAAGCCAACCTGGTATTCAGCCAGCCAGCTAGCCACTGCAGCCTACATCATCAAGAAGCTGAGAAAACTGATCTGGACATGCTTTCTTCTATTTATTTTAACACCATGAATGTTCACCAATACAAAAAAACACAAAGTTAAAATAGTCTTTCACATACATTGTAATTTATTCTTTCACTATTTGGACAAAGTTTGATAAGTGGACACAATATGAACTGTATACACCTTAACACAGTCAGTTTTTACTGATTGGCTTCTCACACCAAATATACTCTACATAACCACCTTTAAGAGAAAAGAAAAAAGGAACATACTGATTTAGGCCTTTTAAAGAATACATTCAGACAAGAACCACTTTGGTCCAGAAAGGGGAGTGACCCAAGCTGCTGGTTTCAAAAAACATACATGGTTATGGTCACAGCTTAAAATACATGTTTTCGATTGAAATAAAAATCAGCAATATACTTATATACTCTATTGAATTCTATTTTACTCAAGGTGTACAACATTCCTTTGTTGCCGTGTCAGTATCAAACTATTTCTCCTGCTCTGCAAAACAAGAAAAACACTGCAAATTCACATCTGAGCACCGGCAGCGCCGTGGTGTGCATCATGCGCCCAGCTCAATTCTGAGTACTGGATATCTACTACCTGCTCTATTTCAATCCAAAGCAGATGTTGATGAAAAATAGCCCCATTCTGCAATTTTTTACAGACTCAACACCAGCACCTGGCTGAAGTGTAAATGCACAGAACTATTGTCTGAATGACAAACACACCCCTGTTGTGCTTCAATTTAACTCTGAAAAACAAAATGACACTGAGACTGGCTTCCATAATAAAACAGAGCTGTGTCTTCCTCATGCCTTATATAGGCATGACTTCTGGGAATATCCTGTGGTGTGATACCGCACATACTAGAGTGGGACTGACTCATATCGACCTATGACCTCGGTGCTCTGTGTGAAGCTAGTTGTACTGGTTTATATCAACCCATTGCTCCTCTGGCTGCAGCCAGTGATTTGTCCTACTGTAACACATACACAAATCTTGAATAATGAAACTATACACATTCATACATACCCACCTGAAAATATACTGTCACAGACACACACACACACACACACACACACACACACACACAAACATGTACACATACATACACGGGGACACATTCATGAAATATATTGACAGCAATCTAATAAATCACCTGTTTGAACACATATGTACACACAGTATTGAGCAATTATAAATTAACATTGTGCAAATAGTCATACATACAAAAGTCAAGTTGAGTTAGTTCTGGCAAAATGTTTAGCAACTCAAAGGTTAACTGTTTTTTTAAAAAAAAATAATAATAATGCAATGTATTCAGAAGCAAATGTACCACTACTGCTAATTTAGCTTTCTTTGTCACTAGCATGTTTATCAGAGAGGATTTGTTCTACCTTTAGAGCACAGAGTTTTGTTCAGTGTCCACAGCAGCTGCAGACACAGAATATGGCTGAATACTGAAAACACTGTCTGTAGAGTAACTGGGCGCATGCAGTCATCAGCACAATCTAACTGACGTTTTTGGCGCTTGCACAGATGTGATGGCACCATGCGGCACGCACAACTTACAGCTTAAGTTCACTAAATCTGCGCAATCTTGCATGCACATATATTAAGCATCACAAAAAACACCCTTGTGCCAGAGGTGACATGCTATTTTGAGTCACTGTTGGATTCATATTTTATGCATGCGTGCCTTTACAGGTCATGTCTATATGCTGTGTATTTTTATCCTTGATTTGAGTGCACAGTTCTCTCCCCCTATCAGCTTCCATCTCAGGGGTTGAGTAGGCTACTGTGTGGAAGTTCATATAGTACACCAAGGCGCGTGAGTCAGACAACGTCTTGATGGTGAAAGGGGGAAAGAAAACATATTTAATGGCAACTATTCCCCTTGAAAACACACCTGGCACATGTACACAGTGATAACTGTAGCACTCAGCATTATCCAAGGCTTAGACCTATATTAAAAAATGTATTTTTATTGTAAAACACCAAAGTAAGTCAAGCGATGATCATTTTTTAGCTTATTTATAATTCATCCCATGCCATCTCTTGACCTCCTTTAAGGTCTATGTGTAAGTCAGGAATGACCTGGTGAGAGCAGCTGCCAGTTTCCCATGGGCCCTGGATGGGGCCGCTTGAACAACACTGTGGTCACTTTACTGTATGAGGTACAGTCAACAGAGTCTTTCTTCTTTTTTTCTGTACATTTTCATCAAAGTCAGTATAGACAAAAACCATTTACAAATATCAGAGCAAAGCAAAGAAAAAAAGGTAGTCTCCTCTCCCCTGTTCCCTACGCTCTTGTTTTGTGTCACTTGTTTGGTCTTTTTTTTGTGTATGCAGTTCAACATCCAGTTTGTCTTTAACCTCCAGTACCACAAAACACACATTTGATACAAAGCACAAATTAAAGCAGAGGCTCAAGCAAGGACCCTGTGTCTTTTTTGTTGTTGTTGTTGTTTTGTTGCCGTTGTTGCTGTTTAAGCTTTCAGGGTTTTTCGTTATATTATTGTACATGGCTTGCCTTGAGATGCTGTTATTGCATCGTTCAACATGCAGCAGTTTCTTACACTGTCTGACAAACACCTACGGAAATCCATTCACAAAGCTCACAGCACATTAGACCCCTCAGCGTGGATGTCTGCCATACTGTTCTCCATTCTCAAGCTGTGGAGAGGGCTAAGTGCTGCTCGGTCTCCCAGTGACACTGATCTCTGAGCAAAAGACCGCTCTGACAGAATGACTCTATCAGCCCAGCTCTTCACAGCCACCCAGGGCAGTTATGTCAGAGACAGGTGAGAGCTCAAAGCCCTCCAGCTTTTTTCACCAAGTTCTCATTCCCAGTGTCTTTCGCAGGTGGCTCGTTCTCTCTCTGAACCTCATAGCACTGCACCTTGTCCGTAAGGCTGATGTCCTCCACCAGGGTGCAATTGCTGATGGTTCCCTCGTGCAGCGGAGAGGTGCAATGGCCCACCTCCTTAACGTGGACCATACCGTTGTGGCAGCCAGCCACAAGCATGTGCCTCTCCTCGGGGCTGCAGACTGGAGCAGAGGTTTTGGCGATGTCCGGGAGGTGAGGCAATCGAGAGACGTGGTTCAACAGGCTGCCTGTCTTCGTGTTGGGGGTATTGCTGTAGGTGTGGCGGTATTCCTCCTCGATGTTCCTCCCTAGCTTCCAGCGCTTCCACTTCTTCAGAATCTCCGACTGCACCTGAGGCAAGGATGGAGGCAAAAGTAGACGTTATTTATGTGAGAACGGGAGAAAAGTCAGGGGGTTGACAAAAATATTTTGTTGTTCAAATGAGGAGACTCACTTCTTTGTTGACAAAGCAGTACAAGATGGCCACCAAGAGTCCCTGTGGAGACAACCAACACTGAGTCAGTTTTCTACACTAACATGCTCATTTAAGAGTATATTGTGTTTTAAGATGAAAGTCCCACAGCATCCTCTTCTCTCTCTGCCTCTCCCTGTTTGTTGGCTGTAATCTCGACACATCATCTGTGTCCTCAGAGCAAAAAAGGTCACTGTGGTCATTATGTCACAGTGGGTCACAGCCAGGTAGCAGCGTAGACAGCACATTATGTTCATGTAATCCCTCCTGACACATTAGTAAATACAGCACTTCTCAGTTGTCTGAGGGGGAAGGGAAACACAGAGATGCTCAGATGCCTGAACAGATCACTGAGCAGATGAAAGAATTCCGTGGTTTGCTGTGAATGTGAGATGCACTGCGTCTTCCATTTAATCATCTTAAAATGAGATTTGAGAACAAAGACTATATCTCCTACATCTCTCCCTGCAAACAAATAGTATGCTTCCTTTTCTCTCTCTGATTCACTGCCTGCTTGCAATGACCTAAGATATTCTCCCAAACTAGACTGCTGACGCTGAGTTTGTTTTGATAAATGGTGTGTGGTGTTTGTTAGTGAAAGTAATAATTGGCACTCAGGTTCCAGTTCTTCTTTTAAGAGTCCAACCTGAAAGGAGGAGAGGAAGAGGTCAATGAAGAGCTTGGTGAGGCGCAGGCCGATGGTGGTCTTGGTGGATTCGTCTGTCACAAAGATAAAGACCACCTGATGGATGCCCAGCAGAGGGATCAGGGTTAGAGTCGATTTAGCCAACCTGAGTGAGAGAGAGAGCACAGAATAAATAGAGAGGAAAAAATCACCACAGTGCAGTAAACGGAAAAGTGTTTTAATTTGTGAACTCACCTGAACTTGTAATCTGTGTATCTCATTTGGTGCGCTTGAAGTTTTGACACAAGAATTTCAATGATATGGATGAAGATGAGGAGGTTGATCTGTGAAAGACAGAGGCACCAGTGTTAATAATAACAATTTTGTAATGCCTCTCCAAATACAGTGGAGGTGTTGGAAATTTATTTTATTTGTGCGGCTCAAAGCAGTGAGAAATTACACTTGAAAAATTTCACTCCCGGATACACACAGGCTTTGAGAAAAGGTATCTCCAATGAAAACTGTTGAACAGGGAAATGGCAGAAATCACAGCAATGAATATCACTGTCCTTCTGCAGATAAAACCTAAAAAACTGTCTGCATGCAATAATACCGCTAGCTGTAAGTAAAAAAAAAAATAATAATAATTTTGTGGTTTGGGTGAGCCAGCCCTTCAAAATTATTGTTCACAGCAGGAGCATTTTGTTATCAGGGAGGCCGTTCACAGCAGCTGGCATTTCAAGAAGCAGTAGGTATTCTCTTGATGAAAATCACTCATGATGTGACCTTTTTATTTACAACTAAGTCGTTACGGATAATTTGCAGGTGCTTGGAAGAAGAAAGTGAAGCTGAACCTAATTTGTACATGTAATTATTGTCGAGGTTTTTTTTCTTTTTGGATTGTATGAATACAGTTGTTTGCTTTTTGAATTGTGTTGTGGCACTGGATTTGCAGTTTGAGGATGTTCTGTGAGGATGTGTTTTGTTCAGTAAAATAGCTGGATTGAGCAAAAATTACCAACCAAGGACTATGGTGATAACAAGTAATACATCTATGTATTATTCATTAAGCACCAGTTTGAAAGCCATGGTATATATCATCCACAAACTATGTGTACAATTTATACACTCTAATGCGTACAGAATCTATATATCTATGTGTTATTTCAAATCTCTATATACTTTGATCTTTGAGGGAAATAAGTTAAGGAGTTTGTGCAGGTTTCAATAATTATTTCAATAATGACAGCCGCCCCCACCCCCCCTCCCCCCCGCCCCCCCACACCACACACACACACACACACACACACACAAAGAGGGAAACAGTGAAATGGGAACCAGCCCTCACGACCCTGCGACAACTCAAACACAGGAATTCCTGTGAGATACAGGCCACTTAGCAGGACGATTAATGCATGGAAAATGCCTGCATGTCTGTGTAACTGGCCTGACATGAGAGCCATGACAAATTGGACTTATGTAAAGGGCTCAGGACTGACCTTTGCAGAGCACACATACAATAAAAAAAACCTGGTCACAGTACAGATAGAGGGCATATTTATTTAATCCCAAAACCTTTGGCTCTTAATATGGTTCCCAGATGTTAGAACTACAGCACAGAGAGTGTTTCACACTATATGAATAAATGAGGTGGGTTTAATATTGTATTGTGTATGAATGGAAAAGAAAATACTGGGAAAAAAAAAAAAGGTGAAATGCAACTGGGTGCACATGTAGGATTTTTTCTTTCTTTCTCAATTCCAGTGCACAAATAATAAATATCTTTCATGACTCTTTGGATGAGAATAATCATTACTTATGAATGATGTGAAAGGAGAAGTGTAATGCACAGAAAAAGCAGGAGACTGAGAAACAAATTGAGAGGAAGGAAGGCGGAATTACCACAACTGCCAGCAGTATCGGAGAACGGATGATCCACCAGTAATTCATGTTTATGTTTTGCTCCCAGCACCTGAAGAAGAAAAGCACTAATGCTTATATGAGGGAGACAACCAGAAATATTTCCTGTACTTCACATGAAACACTTGAAACGTGCTGTTGGACATTGCTCGCCACATTTTGTTACACTATTTCTCTCTGAAATAGAAAGCTTTGCTCTCTCCAGCTGATGAGCAGAAAATGGGGTTGGGGTGGGACGTTGTTGTTGGGGTTGGGGTTGGGGGTGGGGGGCGCAGCACCTCTGTGGGTCTCTAAAGCTTTACATAACGCTCTGTGTGTCGGTGTCTTAGAAATTGCGGCCTCAAAATCCCTTTCACCTCCATTGCCACTGAAGCGTGTACATTAGAGCCTAAGAGACTGCATAACAGAAATTGTGGGTACTGAATGCTGTTATGAAATATGAAGGACACAACTGCTGCTCTGACATGTTTTCCATATGTGGCGTCCTGCCGAACATAAAAACTGTGTCTGTGTGAAAAGTTTAATTCCAGCCAACTCCTCATGTAGTAATTACATGTTAAATTGACCATGTGCTGCTGAGTATCAACATATGTTTTGCAAAAAGACCATCTGCCAACTTTTTTTTTTTTTTTTTTGATATGTGGTGCTGTTTTCACTGAGGAATCAACACGAATTAGTTAAAATGTAAAATGTTTGGCAGGTTCTCAAACTGGCTGCAGAACCAGGAGTGAAGGAAAGGGAGAAGAGAGAGCGAGAGAGCACTGTGGAAACTTACTCTTGATTTTCATACAGGTATTTAGCTATCACCCAGGGCACAAGGAATATTAACGGGGTACCTGCAAAGAAATGAAAGAAACAGTCACTTTGCACATATTACTTCAGTTGTAGACACACTTCCACATACACAAACAAACACAGCTCACCCCAGCCAATGCACAGGTAGATTTTGAAGTAGTTCCTCTCTGTAAACACAGTGATCACCAGGAGGTTGTGGAGGTAGATGCCTTCCACCAGCAGCCAGTAGCTGTTGGCCATGATACTGTACTGCATCATCACCACGGCAATGCGGCAGCTAACCGTTGTCTGCAAGAAAAGCAGTGAGTGTTTCTTTTAGCAAATGTTAAAATATCGAGCAGCGTGAATGTCAAACATGATTTAGCGGTGAATGATGTGAATGGTGAGGTCGGTGCTGCAGCAGATGGGAGCTCCTTCTGCCGCCGGGACTCAGACTTTGTGCCCTACAGCGGCCAGATTGTACAACAGTAGCAATTTTAACCCCAGCTTTTCAGCCAGCTGTGGCCCCCTCCCCTTCCCCAACACAAACACAAAAACACAAACACATCAATGTAGAAAGTGGACCATCCCCGCTTTAACGGATGATTAGCCCCTACAATTATCTCTGTGGCTACCACTACCCTTCCACAAGATTACCATTATAACATGCAACTATTTTTACTTTATTTATCTATTTATAGAGTTGTAGTTGGCTGTTATACAACTCATAATTATGGCAGTACAAACTTGCCTTGAAAAAAAAAAAGTCACACTACCTTCCTCTTGGCAAAAAGAAAATTGCATAACCCTCCATCTTTTTTGACAACACCTCCCCCTCCAATAATTAGTATACAATCCCTTAATGATCCCTGTAAAAACATTGTCCTCTATAGCTTTTTGTTTCGCTGCATATCACCCAGACTGACCCCATTGTTGACCAGCAGCTCCACTGGAGGCATAGATGCCTGGGGGAATCCCTGCTCCTGGTCTCCGCTGAGGTCCTGCGATGTGATGTTGGACACCAGCAGAGCGTCTTTGATGAGGATCGACAGCGCTCGCAGGATGAAGGAGGCAAAGAGATTCATGTGGATGTTGTTCCTCATGCAGTGCAGTTTCCTAATGAATGAGAGGTAACAATGGTCTCTACAAGATAGAGATCTTACCACTTTAGTCCATAATGATCAGATAAACTGCAGTTGAGCTTTCTATTTAAACACTACTACACTACACCGCTACTACTCAAGTATTATTTCCACTTCATGCTGTGTTTGGTGCAGAATCTACTGTAGCAACCAAGTGGAATTTCGTCTTACTACTTCGCCTTGTTTCTCTGAATTTATTTTTAACTGCAAAGTCATTATTACCTGAAGAATATGAGGATGCCAAGTGCCAACACCAAAGCCACCAGTGATAAGGAATAGCCCACTGTGTACATGATCCGAATATGGCCGTAGTACTGCTGCAAATTAAAACACACATGAACATGCTGACTTTTTTTTTCTTTTTTTTTATTTGAGAGGGGTTATATGTGACAGTGGTCCAGTTTTAGTTTCAATTGTAACGGTAGCATTGATCTATGATGTGATCTTTAAATGAGAATTGTTTGTTTCTGTGCCTAATGCCTTTCTGGAAAGAATAATGTGAGAGATCACTCTTACCTGACTTGGATCATTAGAGTCACACTCGCTAGTATTCTTTGTAGTCACCCACTGGCCATTTGCATCACATTCCTGATACACCATGCCGTGCTGAACTACACACACACACACACACACACACACACACACACACACACACACACACACACACATACACACACATACACACACACACACACACACATACACACACACAAACACACACCCACAGTCTGTGATTTACTGGGAAGTCCAGTCATCAGAGACAGCTGTCTTTATCTCTTTATCTGCAGGATATTTTAAGTTGCCATGCATCAACCTGACTGCCATACATCCGTATCTACCAACCCATGTGTCTCTTACCTTTATGATACCACGGCAGATACCACGGACATGCCACACTGACAGTGGTGTTGAGGAGTCCATCAGGCCAACAGGCATAATTGTCAAAAGTCCTGTTGCACACGAGGCCTGTAGATAGAATAAAAAAAAAAAAAAACATGAAATAAGGGAGGGATAATCCTGAGCGACCAGTGCCCCTAACACACTCTTCTCTGCTGTCTATGTCCTGGAGTGGTCTAAATCATGGAATACAATAGCATGTCTTTGAAGTGATGGCTGCTGGTGGCTATTATAGCATCTACACGAATCATGGTCTTTTCATCTTGACTTCAGAGTAAAGTACTCCATCGACGACCTTCCGCTTATAACACACCTTTCATCTTCGCAATAGTAAACAGTGCTGGTTGTTAGTGAATAGACAGCTGGATGTTCAGGTGTATAATGCGGTCTGTCCTGTCTCACCTTGCACCTGCTAATTCGCTGTTACAGTCATGCGGTGACAGGGAGGGCAAGAGAGTGCTGCAGAGTGGGAGAGTGGAGTGGTGTGATTTTGTGTGCAATGCGGGAAGCGGCCTTTTTTGAACGATGGAGTGACGTATGTTCTCCCGATCTATCCCACGAGCATGAAACATGCTAACAGATTATAATGCAGCTGAAAGAGCAGCATTCGCCATGTAGTTAAACACTGTGGATGGTTCTCTGTCAGTGTGAGCCGAGAGCAGAGAGTATGTGTGGTGTTACAAATAAAAAACTTGGAGCAGCTGCAAGCTGAGTGATTATACAACAATTTCAACAGGGAGTGGAAATTGCTTCTGTTCCATAGTCTGTTGATAGTGCGACCTAATCATTGTCTATTGCACTGCATTAGAGTGCTGCAACTGCGCCATAACCGGAGGGTAAATACAGCTTTCTTTGCTGTATATGCAAATTATATATAAAAATCTCTTAGTTTCATATTTACTTTGTCATAAAATGTTGTCAGAGCACTAATAATGATTTAGGAATCATAGTTTATCATAATGTTTCTCTGGATTAAAAAAAAAAAAAAAAAAAAAAAACTGTTATGCCATGTCGACAAACATCCAATCCGTTGTGTTTGGCTCACCAGTGCTCGGTGGGTCTCGGCTGCTGTTGCGCTCACACTCTTCCATGTACAATTTCCAACTCTCCTTCAGCTTATCCAGGGTAGCAGCAGAGGACACCTAAGGAAACAGTGGAGCATGTATGAGGTCAGTTATGAGAGGAAGGTCCATTATTTGTGGAGTTATTGATGTAGTGTAAGCAGCTGGGCAAGAAAAATGTGGAGAATGTGAGCCCCGCACAAACCATGGAGACAGAACGGGAACAGTGGCTGAATTGGCATTCATCTGTTTCATTTCACTTCATATATACAGTAGCTGTAAACAACCCATCCTCAAACTGGGGATATAATCCATCGAGATGACACTGTGTCTTACACTAATGCGTTGTCAGTATGGGGGGGCTTGTGCTCCTCTATGCACAGACTGAAGTATTGTAAACTCTAAGGGACAGACAGTTTGTTTAGGCTTCCACAGCAAAAGTCTGTATTGTTTCATAAGAAACAGCCTCCAGCCCCATACTGTAAAGGCCAGTGTGTGTGTGTGTGTGTGTGTGTGTGTGTGTGTGTGTGTGTGTGTGTGCTCTCAGGACCCACCTGGATGCTGCACGACACAATGAACATGGCCAAAAGGAGGAAGAGCCGAGACATCCCTTCTTCCTGGTGTTGGCGACGGGAGGGGATACTGCAGGACGGGGAAGAGTTTATCTACGCTTGCCACACTGCCTGGATGACACAGAGACACACAATCCATCAAAGCTCATTGCAAACACACGACTTTATTACCTCAGCTGGGCAAAACAAGAGGCCAGATCATATCTGTCACCACAATTACACCAAGAGTTGAAGAAGCATGCAGAGGTAAAATAAAGAGAAAATGTCAATGAGACTAAGGCTCATTTAAAATTAGAGATAACCACTGTGTGAGCCCAGTCCAATTTCCATCCTGGGCACTGATTCATACCAGGCACGGCCATGGTTAACAAGGTGTACAGCTGAACCAGTAGCATGGCCAAGAACCACACTGTCCAGAACATCAAGCACAGGGCCCAAAAACCTCCAGGAAATGCTGTTTATCCCATCAGTGAGAGACAGCTGCGGCTCAGCAGAGCTGCACTCGCTGTGTGACTCACAGTTGACTGTTGTCCACCTTCATCTTTAAGCCTGTCAGTGTTTGGTTGAGCGTGTGTCAGTGTGTGCCAGAGGTCACTCACCTGCGTATTGATCGACACGGCAAACTCCAGCGAGAGATTTGGTTGAAGCCGGAGAACGGAACGAAATCTGAAACGTTTCTGCAAAAAACACCTTGACCATGGAAACATTTTTGGCTAAAACGTTTCAAATTCCATTCTGTTCTAGTCTCGTGGCGGGGAGGACGGGCTTGTGTTGATGTGTTTGGGATTTCTTTTGTTTACTGAGGGGTGGACATAGTGTTTGTTCAAGAGATAAGAGCACAGTGTGTCATGACAGATGTACATGATGTGTGCAGTTGAGAAAGCCTCAGCTCAAATCAAAGACTTTTTTACTCTGCGTTTTGACTAATCATGTCAACACGCTTATAAAGTCTGGGGGTGAAATAGCCGCCAGGAGGTTCCAGTCACAATCTTAATGTCTGCCCTATGTATTACAAAGCTCTACTGGAAGTCAGACTTCAGATAATATCTAAACCAAAGAGCCATACTCTCTAAATGGCCTGTTCAGTGTAATGACCACAGGATGCAGTTAGCATTAGCTGTAGTACAGACTGACTGATTGCCCCAGGCGCCTGAGGGATCACAGATACTCTTGTCTGCCCTGACATCGGGTCAGCACTGGTCCAGCTGAGATCACGGCACCAACTTCTCTGCCCGTAACACCATCAGACATGTTGAAGTCATCCACAACTCTTTCTTCTCAGTTTCATAGCAACACAAGAGGCTTAAAACAAAAAACTATGTCGGCTTTGATTAAAAAACTCCAGCAACATAGGGAAGTTGAATGCATGCTAACCACATTTTCGTGTAAAACTGACTTTACTGTAAATGGCATGAAAAGAAAAACAACAGCTAAACTATGTCAAACACAGCTGAATGAGAATTAAGCTGTTCTATACCAAACAAGTGTGACAGATCAGTTCTTACCAGAGAGAGCGGTCAGGCATCATTCTGCAAGTGCATGATGTTTAAGCCTGTGGCTGGGCTCAGTACAGACAGTAGAGGCTGACATACATGTGGGTGAGCACATGCTCTGGCTTACGGCATAAGTGTTACACCTATGTGTGATGGGTTTCCAAGGATGTGCCTCCTTCTCTCTCTCTCTCTCTCTCTCTCTCTCTCAGACCCTCGTTCCCTAACACATCGGCTTGCCTGCACCACTTTCTGCAACTTAGCACCAAGTAGGAGCAATGATTAACCAGACTCAGTGCTTGGTAGAGTCCTGCAGGGGTGGGTTGCAGAGGTAGAGAGTGGGAGAGAAAGACAGAGGGGAAAAAAAAAGGTTTATCCACCCACCCTTTCTGGCCCCTGACCCCATTTTATGTCCCAAGACTAGGAACACCTGCCATTACATATTTGTGAAGTTGTCATGTAAATCTGAGAGTAGCACATCTTGACAGAACTCCTGATAGATTAAATAAAAATCATGGTAACTTCATCATTCAGCATCAACAACAGTTCAGAGCCCACATAATTTTCATTTTAGATGAAAACAATATCATTTAACAATACCAATAATCTCTTGTGAGTAAAAGTGAAGCCTGTAAGGCAAACTGTCTCCTTCTTCTACCCTCCCTAAAACTTTGCAGAATTTCCAGCAGTCTGACATCACAGTTGTGGCAGCTCTCTGCTGTAGTTTATGTTGCATCTGCATATTTTTGGCTCTAATATCACTATCTGCCCCAAAGCTGAATACAAAATGAGGCTTTCCCTAAAATGAACATTCACTCCTCAAAAGGATTTCAAGAGGGGAATTTTAAAGACACACCCTGAGGACATACATTCGTACATCTCTCATGCTTTATTTGTGAAGATTTGTCACGTACAATATGTCTACTTGGATGCCTTGGATGCAGGACGACGTGAATCACATTGGCCATTTGGTGGTAGCTGGAGTGGAACTAATGGCCTTGGAGGTGTGAGGCCTTGTATAGTCTGCTGTTATGATACCCTGCCAGAGCTAAAGCTCTGGGCTCCCCAGACCAATCAAGGTCCTCTGGAACATGTGTTGCTTAACCGTGCTAGTTCTCTGTTCCTGGAAATAACCTGGAGCTTTAATCACTATTGTTGCACATCTGATTTAAGAGGTGGAACGACAGCTGAGAGTCACACAGGCAGAGCCAGAAGGACTTCTTTGGTTCTTTGAGCCTGTTCCCTTTAGCATATTTCATCCTGAAACAAGTTACCATGCCAAAATGTTTCACTTCTGCCTGGGGATGTGTCAAATGTGAGAAAAATGATATGCTTTGATGATGCTTTCTAAAGGTAAACACAATAATGTTGCTGCCTTGCCTCAGACCTACTTATTCATGGATGATTGGTCAAATATTAAACTAAATATGTGTAATTTTAATAGAAAGATGAAATTGTCATTGCTCTCTTTGATTGAAAGGACAGACAGCTATTTCGTTTGAATAATGTCTGGTCATTTATTTGTATTTATGTAAAAAAAACAAACAAAAAAAACATTGACAATCACAAATGAATGACGCAAATTCCCCGAATGTCCAAAATGAAAAAAACAACAAAAAACAAAGGCGCTCTGTGTTCAAGTGCTGTTGGATGTTGGATGGCTCAATACAATGGCCACTAACAATTACTGTTGTTTGTTGGAGAGTACTTACCTTTCATTGGATTACATTATCTAACAAATAAAATTACAAAAGGAGTGTATGCGTGCATGAATATGGGGCAGAGGGGAGCAACAAGGATTAAAAACAAACCTCTTGGAAAACACAATAACTGTCCGGTTCGGAAAATGCCCCTGAGCAGCAATCTATCATGCAACTTTCCAAATGCAGAGGAGCTAGTGAAAGTCAAGGCAAAAAAAATCCAACTGCATCATCAATCTTCTTTGTCATTTATGAGGCTGAAGTGCATCAATAAAATACCAAAATGACATTCACTAATCTGGCTTTGTATCTGAGCAGAGGCATCAGTCGAATAGATGATCATTAAAGCACAAAAAAAATGCACCTCTGTCAAGCTCTCGCTCCGTGTAATCTTCTCATTCTTCCCATGCTCTGACTAAAGCCAAGGCATATCACGCCATGCTCATACCTTAGGGCTGCAGATGTTACACTGGGCCAGACATTACTGTGTGTGAGCGTCACAATCTGATAATGGGGTGAAGCAGAGTTCAGAGGAGACGGAGCATCATGTCTCAACGTGCCCTGTGACTTATCTGCTGCATGGAAGACGGGGCATCGCTTTAATCTAGGCATCGCTCTCTACATCTTTGGTTATAGACACCGCACTACTGTGTGAATGCTCCATCGACTTCAGTGATTCGACTTCCCTCTGTGTGACTCTCAAACTGCTGGGCTGTGTGTTTTCTGTGCAGTTAGGTGAGTGATAGATAATGTTCTGTTCAGCAAACTCACTTGGGTCTTTATTCAGTCTGTAGGCTCAGTCTCTTTTACCGTGTGATAGTTCTGCAACCATTAACATACCATAGATTATATCTTAATGGATTAATTCTCCACTGGAGATTCACTCAGTGCATCTCGGTCATTATTTTCTGACGTAGTGTTTTATCGGATCTCCAATACCTGTTTTGTTTCGGTGAGTGATTTTCCCTAGACGAAATGCCTCTAATTGTACAGTAGACTCCCTCAGAGCTGTTTTTGTGGTATCTTTAACACAGAGAAATTCTAATTACACAATAAACACGTCAATGTGGTCATGGCAAAGGTACATTTCAGATCAGTGTCTCAACAGGAAATTCATTCTCACAAAAGCCTCCAGTTTATGTCCCTGGTGAGACTGGTGTTTTTGTTTGAAGTTACAGCAACAAAATGTTACCAAAAAAAAAAATGGATGCACCTGTGTTCTCCCAGAGAGGTCCTTGTAGCTGAAAGTCCTTCAGCCGTAAAGATAATAGTAACACAAATCAAAGAGGAAGCTTTCCCTCAGCTGTTCAGTGAGCTCAGAGAGTTATTGTGAATGTATCTTTAACATGTTTGAGCACTGAGAGCAGCTGCCTTCTGCATTATGAGATCATAACATGCTGCATGCAGACTGTGGTATGGTAATAATCAATAGCAATTAGCTGTAATTAATGGTATGTACAGGAAGACTGAAGCTGGATCTTTGCTCCCTCTGAGAAATAAGGATTGTGCCCGTCCTCCTCATCTTCAGCCAATGCACAAGGCACCAAAAGCTGCTCCTGTGTAGCTCGTGGCTGGCAGCACATGTCTGGTGCAATGGTTGCACTGTGGAAACGTCTGGTTTCTTTGTCATTACTCAGTTTCATTATGCTTTACTCTCAATCTGCCCCTGCTACTTTGTTTTCTTTCTGCAGTTTTCTCCAAGTGTGACAAATTGTTTTCTTTTTTAATGTGCTTTGATTCAGAGAAACTGCTGCCAAGACCTGAAGTTTCCTATTGATGTTTTAGATTGCTGAAAAACACTTTTCTCTCCAACTGCGTTATAGCTGTTCTCTAGCAAACCAAAATGCACCACGGCACAACGCAAATAAACAATAAAAATGCATGCTGGTCACTGACACGGCTAAAAAGCGTAGATTTCCCT